TGTGCAATCTATCTTCTTGTTCAAAATATAATCAATATGATTTTTTCTATCGTACTGATGGTGATTACTGCTGGTTTCGTCAACAATCCTTGTTCGTGTTTCTCAAGTGCTCTCTGTATAACAATTAATTGGATCGACGTGACTAGTGGCATTCTCGGTGTTTTTGGACTTGGATGCAGAGCGAAGTTACCAATACTTAAGGGTCTTCTTGCCTGTTCTATATTAATGTTTCTCTCAAGCATTGCCTACATCATTGCATATATTGCTATCAGTATTTGGCTGTGCATGAAAGCAAGATCAAACATTGTACACGTAGAAGCAGCTTACCAAAATAATGTAGACTCGGTCAGAATAAGACAACAACAACCGGACAGTCTAACCCGTGGTTATGAATATACAGGTCGACCAGAAAATCATGGTCCTAGGTCGAATCTTGATCATCATTTGTCACCATCGAAATCGGCACCTCGTCTGGAACAAGATCCATATGATGAGGTACACAAGACACATATTTAACATACAACTTTTCGAACTGAAACATATAGTTGAATCAAGAAATATTATTTTTTTATAATTCGTATAATACTATATTCATAAATAAAAGCATAAAAAACATTTCACCTCTAAAGTTTATGTGTATTTAGAAACGGTCAATGACCGGATCGGAAACTTTTACTATGAGCTACCTGGACATATTTGTGGGTGTGCGTGTGCGATCAGTATGACTCTTTTTTACTCTCGGCCTACACCCACACCAGACGAACTTCAGGAGCACAACGTTGAAGTTCTTCAACCGGCAAGCCGCGTTCTTGTGTCGAGATCGGTGCACCGTTAGTGGGTTTCTTCTTACAAAGTTTCATAACTGATAAGGCATACCCATTCAGGGAGACCTTTATAGTGAGTATTATGGTAAAAAAATGTCTGGTTTTAATTTACAATAGTTACCTTTTCTAAGAATTTTGTCTTCTTCATCTCCAAGGACATAGAGTTGTTATTATTACACAACTTTACGTGCCCATGATTGTAAGAATTATTAGATAAGAACACAAAATTTATCGTAACTGGAGATATTACTTTATCTTTATTTTACTTTATAAAAAGAATAAAGATAATCTTTATACTTATAAAAATAGGCATAAAATTTTTTTTTATTTTCTTAGAGTAACTCACAAAAAATTATGATATTATATAGTTAACTACAAAATATGGAACAGCATTTTTCGTAAATATCGTTTCTTGTGTGATCCTTTTTGATGATAAAAAGGAGCACTTATAAATTTATTCTGTTGTTCTATAGGATATTTGCAAATAAAGATTATCTTTATCTTTATTTTATAAATACACAGATTATCTTTATCTTGAGTTTATAAAGCTAAAGATTTACTTTATTTCTTTATCTTCATTTTTAAAATAAGGATTATCTTTATCTTTATTTATAGAGTAAAGATAAAATAACATTCCTAATCACTACTATATAAAACAGTAATATTAAATGAAAGATACCTGAATTCTTTGTTGAGATGGAGCGACAGCAGTATCCAAACCAGCCTTATGCACACGAGTCATACGAACAGAGATCGTATCCACAGAGGCCGATTACACAGCAAACGTATGTACATCAGCCCTACGCTCAACATAGTGCGCCTTATCCAGTGGTACCACCACGAGCACGATCGGTAAACGACATTCTTCCTTCTGCTGTTCCTGCTGTATTGGGTGGATTACAAGTTGTACTCTGGCTTGCTATAATAGGTCTTGAAGCAGGAGGTCTATCGTACGATCCATGGCGCGGTACTGCCTATGCAGGGTTCTGGTGTGCTGTTATATAC